CATTGACATCTTTTTTAGCAAAAGCATCCAGCTAGTGTTTTTATTGTTTTGGACATGGCACGGATTGTACACTGAGGAATAGTTTATCAAGTGTGTGTCATAAAACATGGAAAAATTCAAACTGAACAGTAAAAGTATGAGCGAAAATGGAAACTGTTACACAACCTTAACTCTAACATATCTTTGCCAGACATCCGCTGCGATAAATGCCCTACTAGAGAGCAGTTCAAGCCACACGCAGCTGGGGAGCTGATTTGCAGATAAGGATTCTATACTGCAACATGCATGTAAGTGCCAGAACAGGAACACAATTAAATCGACCAACGCATCAAAAACACCGAATTTGAAAAAGCTTTAGTAACTGAATCGACATGTTGGGCTGGGTAGGGAAGGTAATTTATTGCAACATTTGGACCTACGATGGGATTTGTCACTCACAACAGATGGCAGCACGTTTTAGATTAGAAGGTATGCGAGAGATTTGATTTCCCTTGGTTTTGCTATCCTACCCCCCCCCGCCTTTTCAATTTTCCTTGGAATCCTTATTACTCTCATTGCACTGTACTGCTCTTGACCTTCAGTCCAAAAGAGAAGAGAAAACTCTGTATTCTGAATTCTATACGGTTTTGTAGAAGCACATTTCTTCACTCCGAAGAAAACCAACAGAAGGACTATGTCAGCAGTGGGGATGGCTGCTAGCAAAAGTACGCTTCTCGGGAGTTGGAAGAGGTGCAAAGTTGAATCAACATAATTTGGATGCCAGAACTGTGGCTTCTTTGGTGAAGCTTGTTTCATTTTTTTCAAAGCACCTGCTCTGTTGGCATAACTACAGCCACCACAGGAGTATTTTCTGTGCTCCTCTCTCCACAGTGGTAGCACAGTTGTAGCATAGACATAACCTAAGCCTGATTTCAGTAACTGAGGCCAACGTTTGCACTTAAAGGCAGTCTTTAAATCAAGAAATCTACAAATAATTATAACCTGACTTTTAAAAGCTTGACACCTGAGATGAGCAAAGCTTAGAAGTACTCAGCACTTTTAAGATCTGGGCCACTATAAATTTTGCCCCAAAAAGCTCATATTCAAAAAGGAGCAAACTGAACATTGTGGGACTTGGCTTTTGGATAGGAAGTAACAACCTTAAACTGAAATTAAACACTTGATTTCTTTATACGTCAACAAGGGAGGCATTCATGGTCTTCCAGTGGAAGTGACACCACCTAGTCACCTTAGTGGTGGAATTCCTCTACCATCAACCCTTGGAGCCTAAACGGAAATTACGCCTGACTGCTTTGTTTTTCTGGGCATAGATAAACTCTCAGGCAGTCACCTATGTGAAGAGACAATTATTTACTTACTTATTTTAATACAGCTCAGCAATTAGAGCCTTAACTTCTTCAAGTCCTGTCTTGTACTGGAGGGATTTGACTGCACAGCCAGCCCCTGGACCAGGCACCTTCCTCAGCCCCGCTTCTCCAGCAGCAGGCAACTCAAAAGCAGTCTCCCTGGCTGTGTTTTCTTCTGTTAAACCACACGATCAGCCAGTGTAACTCAACACGTGCCACAGCTTACCATTTCATTCCATCTGCAAATGTCCTTGAGAATCATTTCATATTTCCTTCCAGGTAACTGATAAAGCTATTGAGCAGTATCATGCCAAGAACAGATTCCTGTGAGTTCCCACTAGAAGCAACCTTTGAGATTAATATTCCCCAACTCCAATGACTTTTCAAGATGTTTCCGTTAGCCCATTTTTGATCCATTTGGTAACCCTGGATTACACTAATTTTACACGCTGTTCTTTCATTTTGTTTTTAACCACAGTGTCAACAAGACTAAGTAAATGTCATAAAGCAGTCTAAGTGTATTACTGTCAGCACACTTATCTTTGTCAACTTCATTTGTGATCTTTGAAAAAGCAGTATCAAGTTTGTTTGACAAGATCTGTTATCCATAAAAACTTAGTGGCTGGCATTAGGAATGCTTTCATCTCTTCTTTCTTTTTTTTTTTTTTTTTTTTTTTGAGTTATCTAGTTTCAACCTTTCAACGATTTTGGTTGACCTATAGTTACCTGGATCATCTTGTTTAACCTTTAAAAATACTGGCACAACATTTGCTTTTTCCAGTTCACTGGAATTCCCCTTGGTATGCCAAGACGTGTTATAAAGCAACAGTAATAGTTTAGACAGTTCAACTTAATACTCTCCTGTGCAAGTCTTCTAGTCTGACAGAGAATTAGGGAGGAAATATAATTATTGAATTTCACTTCTAACTTCAACTTTAGAAGGGCTGAACCTCTACTAGAATAACCCAGCATTTTCATAATGAAGTGTACAGCAACCAGCAGTATCTTTGCTGTAACATTTCAAATAATCTCAAGTGCTCCTGTGCCTTGCAGCTGCAAAATACTTGAAATGTTATAGAGACAGTGCTTTTTATATAGTTGTTCCACCACATGTATTTCCTTTTGTCATTTCTCTTTTCCTCCCGACATTTGCCTACATTTTATGGGAAAGCCTGGAAGTTTTACAGGCTAAGACTAAAGGATATATAGTTGAAAAAGAACATTGAACTTTTGTACAGTCTTGTAAGCAACCTTTATGGCTGTGTTTGATATAATTTTTAGAAGCTTTGGGTTCAGCTAATGTTAATAAATAATCAATGTAACAACCTAGGTTTTGGCAAGCTCCATAAACTGCAGGGGTTTGAACTTAAACTGTATTTAAACGCTAGCCCTCTAAATTTGGCATGCATTATTTCTGCAGCTATCGATTAAGCATCTTGCATCTGCTGTCACATCTTATGGCGTTTACACTAGCAGGTGGAACGGCAAGATGCTGTACAACAATTTCTGTCGTACTACCCTATACTTTATCTGACAATACAGAGATAAAAATTTATTCGAAAAAACAATGATAGCATGAAAGAAGATTCAAACTATATGTAAGAAGCTTTTAAAATAGATGAGTGGATTCATTATTGTTTATAGCTCTTATTTGCTGAATAGAAACACCAGCAAACTGTCAGCTGCATCTGCTAAATCAATATCTAGCATCTAGGTTTCAATATGCTAAGTTTGAAGCATATTTGAATATTTCTTCAAATACTTAACCTCAACTTCTACTCTCTTATATGGGTAAAATACAACAGAAACAGTGGAAATAAAATGTTTTTGTGAATGACTTTAGTTTGTGTGGATTAAGTAAGAAAAACATTTGGCCCTTTACTTAAGAACATAAGAGCAGAACAACTTGCAACGAATATGAAACTTCGTACATGAAGTTCTCCCTAAAACTGCAAAAGTGATTGCTTGCTTGTGGGAGACAAGTTATCTAAAAGAACTTTTTCTTGATGTTTGGCTGATACCACCATTCTTGATTGACTTTGTAAAGCCTCCTTCTGAATCATTACACAACACTATCCCACCTACGGATCTATCAAGAAGAATAAAAAGTGCCGATTTTCTTTTTTCACATCAGGAAAAGTTACTATATTAACACACTGTCATGTAGAATCTCCTACAATACAAATATAACAATGTAAAATAATTTCAGGACTCTTTAGGCTTTGACTATGTCCATCTGCGCACTGCTCTAATGTTCAGAAGCCCTTTCTGGTGTGGTACTCAATGGCTTATTTCTTAAAATAAAATTTGTCTGGATGAAATTTTAGTTTTGTTAGTTCTTTCTTTCACCTGGCTGCATGCTAGAACTAGACTATTTTTTATAAGCTCCGTTATTAGAGAGAAGAATACAATGTCAGAAAACAGCTACTAACACAGGCCACACCTGGAACCTCAATGACCTGTTTCAAAAGACCAAATCCTGAAAAAGTATTACAAATCTTCTACTCAATTTCAGTGGAGATTCCTTGCACAGGGATGTGGACTTCTGAGATAGAAACAGTCGTGGAAGTAGAAGAAACAAATCAAAATAACGTATGTAATGAAGGCTAGTTATAATGACCATCGGAAGCAGGCTAAGCCAGTATTCCCTACCTGCTGGGATTTTGGTCCCCTATCCAAGACACCTCTGGACGGCTTGTTCTAAAACCAGCTTCAAGTCCTCTGACAGGAAGATAGGTGTTTTTCAGAGAACTCTTTTTTGTTTGTTTCAGCATATGAAACACCAAATATTTTTAGTCAATTCTACTTTTACCAACCCAGAACACAAGGCCAGTACCAGGCAAACTGGGATCCTGGCAATAAATCCTTTGTTAGTATATCTCACCTCTCCTATCACCTCTGCACTAACAGAACATTTTCCATTAGTGGAGAGAACTTCTACTTATTGCAGTCAAAGAGTGGAATCAAGACTACGAAAACAAAGCAGACCCTAAATTTAAGTTTCAATTTCACTTGTTTTTTTGATGGAAAGATGAAGTTTTCCTTCTAAAAGGAAAAGCCCTGTAAAGACATTATTTTCCGACATGAAAACAGATAGAGGTAGAATACTAAGAAATAGTATCAAATACTAATACTTGATACTAAGAAAGTGCCACACTGATACTTGCGTAGCTCAGTTTACATACGTGATTACTCTAAAGAAATTCTAAAACATCAGGTGCTTGCACCCAAATTTCCTTTTACAGCCAATATAAAGCCAAGTTAGACAATCTCTCTTTACTTAGTAAGTATCTGACAGAACTATTACAAGTAGCTAAGAAAAAAAGATAAAAAATCCATGCGCTTTGTGCCTATGCTGCCAAAAATTACTTTGGCTGAGATGATATAACTCTACAAAAACATTTGTTAACATAATGTTATGTATTTCCTTGTTTTGCCTAACTGCAATGTTTACTTTGTACCTGCGTATGTTTGCACTTTTATTATGTTCAAGACCATGATTTCAAGGAAACATGGGTTTGTGCAAGAAATATTTGGTTTGAGTTTATCAGTCTGAAATACTCAATGCAACGTTCCTAAAGCAACAGCATGCAAAAGGCCAATTTTCCCATTTCATCTATGAGTTCAAGTTGTAAGGAAAGACAGGAAATTTACCCGATTCCTGGAGATAGCGATACACCAAGAAATTCACTTCGTCACTGGTTATGCTCATCTTAGCCCAACCTCAATAGGATGAGGTTTACGAGAAGTGTGATCCACGCTCTGTTCAAAGGGAAAGAAAAAAACAGGTTTTGTTTTATCTTGATTTATTACGAAACATTACCAAAATAGAGGTGGGAGTTGTTAAGGTATTTAAAGATCTAATATAGTTATTAGAGCTGTTACGTCATAATGTGAGGTACTCATTAAAAACTGTGAATCAAGTACTCAAGCTGTACTGTACCTTTTATTATAATTAAAGAGCAGTATTTAACACATATGAGAGAGTCAGAGGGAGCATTTTATATATTTGAAGCCTTTGCATATGTCAACCCTTCTACTTCTGTGGCTTTACTACAGCTTCTTCAGATGCTTCTTTTTATTGTGTGAGCATTTTCTTTTCAGAACTGCTGGCAATTACAGTCATGTATAACCCAACAAATTTTAATCTTTTGCAGCCCTAAATTTGCAATATAGTTTTCGGTCCAGTAGTTAATCCACTAAAAAGACAAGATTCTTTCCTTACAAACCAATGTTATGCAGAGAACTTTTAAATAAAGTTCCCATAAAATAGAAGTAAATCTAAATTTCAGATGAGATTACAAATTTTATTCCAGGGCGGGGGGGGGGATGAAGGGATGGGAAGAAAGAATGGGAAAAAGAGAGTGCGAGAACACCATATACTTTGTGCCAACAAGGAATAAAAATATCCTGGCATATAAAGTTATAATGTCTCTGCTCATAAATGGTGAGCAAGAATTAAACTTCAATTATTCACTTAAGTAATCATAACTTTTAGGATGACAGTTTTATGTTACTATTTTGGGCATATACTGATAATAAAACCATTGGGTTTAGATGATAAATTTGTTTTGAACATTTTCCATTAAATCTTGATGATTCATTTCTGTTTGGGAATCTGACTTAAGTAGTTTGGTTTGAAAAGCCATGAGTACTTCTCAGACATAAACTCTGCAGCTTTGTCAGCCACACCATACCTATAACTGATCATGTCAAGGCATGGACACAGACGTGCACGCTACGCCCTCGTGGTGTGTGACAAATGAAAGACCGTAGGCGTGTGCCGTTTGTTTCAATTTCCCGTACGTCTCTTCTTGGCAAGCGGAAAGGTCTTTGTTCATCGAAAACCTCCTCAGTGATTCCTGTTGCCTGAAGTAGCACCTGCTACTGCCGGCAACGCTGATCGACTACAAGTTTCCCCTGCTGATGATTTAAACCAGCAGGTCACTCATGACTGTAACAGATGTCTCTGCATATTTATGTAAATGGAGGTCTTTCGAACCCTGGTAAGCCTTCTATTCTCCTGGGCTGTTATATTTCATCAATGGCTCAGATGCTGGTTTTCCGTAAGAAACCATAGCTTGCTAATTTGGGAGACACCTTCTTCAAGCATTCTAGTCTTTATTATTACAGCTTATACTTGAAAAAGAACAAGAATAAAAAAACCACTGAAAATTGTGCAGTTTTGGTGGGGAAAATTTCGTCTACTTTGGAAAGGATGATCACTTTCTGCAAAGATTCTGTATGAGGAGAACATCAGCTGTATCCAGCATCCAGTCCTGTCACACATGCCACGTGTCGCCCTGGGAAGTGATTTGGTCTCTTTTCTCCTCAATCCCTCATCTGTAAAATGGGCTGAAGTTTCTCTGCCACAGTATCAGAAGACTGGAAGCACTGAGAGCCATGAGGGCTTTAGATAACCAAGGCTGCCAACTGCAGGCAGGGAAAGCACCACTTTCATAATTTTATACATCTTCCAGATAAACAGACTTGTTTCTGAATAATTAATAAATCCTCATGCCCCTTTTGGCACAATCATCACCGCACAATGAAGAACAAGACAGACGTTAATGGCAACAGTTAATGCCATTTTCATCCCTCTCCGAGTACTTAAAGTACATCCGTATCACTGCTATGGCCATGCTAACAATAAATCAAGAAACTTTGATAGCTGTGGGTTTAAAAAAAACCCACCCGACATAACACTTCTAAAAGCATTTTAAAAATAGCAGTTTCAGTATTTGATGGTAGGAAAGTTGGTAAAGATGAAACCTCTCACAAAAATTCAGTTTCAGCAATGACGTACTTTGTGGTAAAATAAACTTCATTAAAAAAAAAAAATCAAGAAACTACAAATGCTGTTTCTGGATGCATCCTGCTAATTTAAGACAATAACACGTTACTTCCCACATACAGAGGGCTACTTTGGGAAAGGGAAGGGATGGGAAAGGCGGAGTGTCTTTTTTTTTTGTTTGTTTTATTATAGAAGACTTTTCTTAGATGAATTAAAACCAGAGAAAATCAGCCTGACTGCAAAATAAATGGTCTGACAGCCCCAGAAAAACCTCCACAGCAGGCACCTTTGTATTAGAATCCCAAGCACACCAAGTGGCTGGATTTACAATGCATTTTCCCTGAAGTCAGTCAACAGGAATTACTTTGACATATGTGTCGGATCATATCTTTATACACATTGTTACCATGCCATAAATAACCAGATGATCCCCACTTATACGTTTAAGGTTTCTTCCCTCCCACAGATGCCAGAACAGCAATCAGATACACAACCGTAAAGCTTTCACCCATCCAAAACGGTACACATCTTGGCTTTGACCCAGAGAAATCTATTCATTAGAAATTTGGCTGAGCTATGAAAGACCATGCTCAGTTTCATTAACGCCTTTTTTGATTTCCTTCTTCTTTGCAGATGAATACCCCAAATAAAAGAGGCTAGAGAAGATGTAGTGAGGAGGAGTGGAACGTACTTTATCTTTTGTGTCTCTCCAACTCTGATTCGTAAGAAACAAACAACTAGCCTCCCTCTCAATATATTTTTTTTTTTTAATGTAGAAATGCAAACTTCTGTAGAAAATCGTAGAAACCTTTAGTTATATTTGGGATAGATTTATTTCTGCTAATTGATGGTCTCGTCCTGTTACTGGAGACCAGTATTACCTAGATTAATAGTTTTTTAAAAGAAATAAATTACAGCTTGTAAACAATACTGATGTGCCTCTGGAGACATTTCACATTTAAACCAATCAGCAACAACATCTTAATTCTTCACAATGTCACGGGGATTTACAAAAAGCATTCAAACACGTGTTTCAACTTTCTTTACTTGAAACACTTTTTCCTGCACCCAATTACACATAACGGAAAGTTTTATTTACTTCAACCTCGCCTTAGAAATTTGGGTTGCGATCCTACAGATATTTGAGAATGTCTAAACATGTGAGCTTTGTGAACAAAGACTTCACAAAGTATACTGGATCCCAAGCACTCGAACCCCACCAGTGGACGAGCTGTCAAGATCATGCAAAATTAAAATTAACACTTATTTTCAATAAATATTCAACTCCTAGTTCTGCTGGGATAGCTTTGCAGAAATGCTTCCCATGCAGAGGTTAAGAGCTGGGTTCTTAGCTCAGATATGCCACTGTTGTGCTTGTTGGGCTGCTTGGCTTTTGCTGAACCAAGTCGTTCAGCTGGAGTTGAGCTGGCTCCAGCGAAGCTAACGCTGCAGCACACTCCCCTGTGCTCTGGGCAACCAGGGCAGCTTATTTCCTGGAGTACGCCACTGGACCTGATTTGGCTCTGTGCACCGACATAACCACTCTCCTCAAATGAAACCTTCCTGGAGCACTGGGAATTTTGCTAATGGGCCATGCAAGTAGCTCTGGAATAGACAGCCTCACATATAGCTATGGTTCAGCACAGGTCGACCAAGAAGAGTTTATTTACATCCCATCTCCTTACTCAAGGATTGCTCTTCCTTCGTCCAGCGTATTTTAGCATTGTTGACATAAATAAGGGAGATCTGGCTGAAGAATCAAGGGAAAATAACTTTTTCAACTTTGAAATAGCATCTAAAGGCACAACTCCTCTCCCCTTCTTCTAAATCATGCTCATAGGGTCCCCCAGGGCCATGTCCTGCCCTCCAGGATAACGCCAGGGCAGGGGATGGCCGAGGCTATTTCAGGACAGGAGTTTACATTTGCTACTTGAAGCAGCAGTGTTATCCACAGCGATTGGGAGTTACCAGTCCAATCTTTCCCTCAGAAAGGCGGAAACAGGCCAGACATCTAGGGAAAACACCTAAACTAAAACCTAAACCTGAGACCTAAATAGGAAGCCGACACTTCCCATTTCTGCATCCAGCCCTGTTGACAGAAATTCATCAGACGGCAAGTCCGGCCCTCATCTTACCCCCCTGAAGAAATCTGCAAGCTCCAGTCTGCTTTACCTGAGTGCTGAGCAGTCATCAGCTTTTTAGGAGGATTTTTTTTGGGTCATTATTGTTAAACACCCTCCCCTCCAAAAAAAATCAAACTGAAATGCACAGAGTCGCATTTATCTCCTGGAAGGGTTGCACTATTTACCTAGTATTTGACAAGGCTAGGCCAAAATGTCTTTTCCCAAACAAATTTTAATGACAACAACATTGTCATTAAAATTATGAGGGACAAAGACAAATTGTGTGTTTGCTTTGGGGAAAAAAACGGCAAAAATGAGAGGTTTCATAAAAATTCCAGAAAACATTCCAGAAAGCTCAAATGTTTAATGTTCCAAATTTCCAAATTGATGCCCTGCCGCATAGGAATTGGAGTTCACATACTTGCGCTCCCATTTTCTCATCCAAGATGGCTCCAGACAACCAGCCCTGTCTCTCAGGACTCACTACAGTTGCCCTGTCTCAGAGGAGAGAACGTGAACACGAGAACTAAAACAGACTCTCGGAAGGCACCGTGACAGCGCAGCCAAATCAATGTGTTACTGTTTTGCATATGCTCTGCAGTTTAATGAAAAACAATGTTTCCCAGAGCCAGAAGCCACTTCTCACAAAACGAGTCACTGAGTCAACCTCGGTATTTTCTGCTGAAAAATACTTTCTTCAGAAACTTTCTATGAGCCCCGCACTTCTGTACTTCTAGGCTGCGTCTTACCATAAAGCCAGAACAGAGTCAGCAAGCCAGCAGCTACTCCCCAAAG